CCTTTCATTCTGTGCCCTTAGAATCTTTTGCATTGAAATTTTCTAAGCATTTATTATCCATGTCTGAGTGAGTGTCGAGAAGCTATTTCATCATGTTCGCACAACAGTACCTGGATAACAATCATGGGGGAAGGGGGGGAAACTTGTTTAATTTACCCCCGTACAGCCAAAAGATGCTGAGGATATTGGATTACTCTCCCTGTCATTCTTGCATGAAATCGTCTAATTCAGCAGACACTGGGGATCAAGCTCAGAACCACTACCCATGTGCTGGTTCTTATTAACTTTGTTAATTAAAGTAATGAATTGAGGCACATATTTGATATAATTATTGGTATTATTGTGTGTTTGTTATGCAGTCAGCCTCACAAGAAATAAAATTAGGTGTCATTAAGCGCTTCTAAAGCCACAATCACCATTTAAATCCTCTCTTTGTGGAATATAATGAGTAATTGAAGTGTGTGGAAGTGTACAGGAAAGCTGACGTTCAGCTTCATGGTAACGGTTTGGAAGCCCGATTTGTTGGTACGGTTTGGGATTCCAAGAACTCACCTCACTTCTTCGGCTTTGGACTTGAAGTTATGAGTGTACCTGGTGCAAAACTAAAATGTGAAACTTTCCAGGCAGCCAAGTAATTGTCTTTAACATGAAGCTGATTAAACATTAACCTTTACTTTCAGAAAGAACTGATAGGCTAATTCAAAAATTTGCCATTGGTTGGACAAGGGTGACGTGATCTCTATGTGCCTTTAAGTCCACTTGTGCAGAGTTCTACTTTGATTAGGGCGGAAAGTATGCTTACAAGGTTCCAAAATTGATACCAGTGTAAAACTGTTATTCAGTCTAACTACAGCATTTATTATTGGCATCTTGATATACTTTACCTGCAATGTCAGGCTAAATGTCTTTTTAAACTAATTTCTTGGATTGATTAGCACAAGAACCTTTACTTACACAACCTCCCATTCATGTTATTGGTTTGTGTGGTAAATACTTCCCTCTAGGCCATTATTGACTGGCACTAAATATACATAAGATATATTGTCGATCACTAAGTGAATCTGATGCAGATAATCACACACATTGTGGAGTCCTGTAGCTCAGTGGTTAAAGCACTCGCTTTGCAAGTAAGAGACCTGAGTTCAATTCCAGGCAGAGGGCGAAACCTTGGGCAAGTTTCCTTACTTCACACTCCTAATAATAATCCCTCCAAAACCAAAAACAATAATAAATTGGTCATTTTCAATCCATATGACTGTTTGTGGGACATTGCTGTGCGCAATTGGCTGCCGCGTTCGCCCACAAATATACAGTCAATTCACTTTACAGTGTGTTCTGTGAAGCGCTTTGGGACGTCCTCCCGTCGTGAAAAGCGCTATATCAAATGCAAGGATTATTATTATTATTACTAACGAACGGATTTCTCCCTTGTTAGACACAAGACTTCTTTGACCTTGGTATGTGATCACAAAGCAAATATGTTCAATATTGAAATTAGGCAGTAATATTGTTGTGAGTTGTTGGAGATTTGGGTGGAAATTCTTGAATTACCGTCATGAATGGCAAAGGGATTAGTAGAGTTTAGTAGAAACTGTGAAGTTTCTCTTCATGGCTAATTTCTTTGGGAAATTTAGAACTTTACAGCACAGAAGAAAGCCATTGTGTCTGTGTTGGTTCCCTCAAGAGCAATCCTTTCAGTTCCATGTTACTTGCCCTTTCTCCATACTCCTTTAGCTGACTCTTTTCAAGGTATTTGCCTAATTCCCTCTTGAAGGCAACAATGGATTCCTTTTAACAATGGGGAAGAGGGAGAACAAAGCATCAGTTCTGATAAATACTCCAAGATGTATACTCTAAAAAAGAAATCAATAAACGGCAGTCAAAACGTAAAACAGCATGAATACACAGCAGGAAAATAAAACAAATGTAGCCAATGGTCCCGGAGACCATAACCTAATGATTTTCCCCCAAAACAATGCTGACAAAGTTATTCAGACACTGTGCTTCTGTTCTTTTGTGGTTCAGTCGATAACAATAACGAGAGCAATTCGCAAAATAGGTCAACACTTGGGTATTTAAATATTGATGCATTTCTAAGAATATAGATGTGCTGACGGGTAAATATTCCATTTCACACAAAATACCCTGCTTATTAGTGTCATTGGAAAACGTTTCTGTAATGACAGTGCGCCTTTATGGCTCAGCGGCGTTCTTGCCTTGTAGAGCGAGGATAATACTATACTCAGGGAGGAAAAAAACACTATTTAGAAACGCAATTAGAATTTTCAACGCATTTATTAAGAAGACAACGCATATTTCTGTTCGACAATTCGAGGTTGAGGCAGATTGCAACGGTTCAGAACAGTCTTGTTACGGACGCTCTCGTCTTAACTCTTTTATCATAAGCCGGTGATTCAAGCCAAGAATCTTGGCAGGTAGGCAACTCAATTCTACGGTGGCTGGATGACTCAGAAGTTTACTCTTTAGCCTGTAACGATTTGAAAGTTGATAAAACATTCGACTCGTGCCAGAAAGAACTTGCGAGGCGAAAGAAGACCAAAGTCCATCCAGTTTGCCTTCCACCATCCAGGCAGCCGCTCTCCCGTGTCATGTCCCGAACTATAATAATGTCTCCCGAGATAATATGATCGTAAGAATTGGGTAACGTAAGATGCTAACAAGGTCCTGGTTTCCACAAAACACCCAAGTTGATGTTGGGGCTGGACAGCTGGAAGCCTTCAGTGGTTTCACTGGATGGCGCTGTTTCTACATGTTTTCACACAGCCCTCAGGAGGCAGCAATGGGAAAACTGTGAGGCTGGAGACAGAGAAGCTTCCAAGGCTATTTGCTACTTACTATGCAGGTGGTCGATCAGAGGAGGAAGAGGGGGAGGACAAAGCAGGGAACGTCAGGGCGATCTGTCAAAAAAAAAAAACCCTAAAAAAAAACCCCAAAACAAATAGACTCACTTTGCATTTAAAAGCGTCAGGTTTGCAATTGACCCAATATCTTTTTAAAAATGTATATCCTTGGGAGAAAGACAGCAAGCGACAAAAGTGAATCGACTTGGGGCTTCTGAAAGTTGTTAAGGCACTTCATCATCATCATCATCATCCATCCATCCCAAACCCAACCCAACCAACCAACCAACCAACCAGCAGTGAAAAATGATCCATATAAAGAGCAGAGCAACACTTACCCATGTACACAGTCCATCGGCAGTCCCGGGGTATCATTCCTGTCCGGACCTTTTCCAGTGTCGCCGTTTCCAACCAGATCAGGATGTTTGATGAAGATCTCAAGCCCATTCCACTAAAGAAAAAAATGACCTCACGATGGTTTTAACCTGCAGATCGCTTTGAGTCGACTTTGTCGGAGCGACGTGGGGCAAAAACAAGTGATGGGCAGATAAAGATGTGATCAGATAGACAGGAGAACAGAGAGACACAGAGTGAGTGAGAGAGAGAGAGACAGAGAGTGTGAGAGATACAGAGAGAGAGAGAGTGAGGGAGAGAGAGAGAGACATAGAGAGACAGAGTGAGTGAGAGAGAGAGACAGACAGAGAGTGTGAGAGAGACAGAGTGAGTGAGAGAGAGACACAGAGAGACAGAGAGTGTGAGAGAGACAGAGTGAGTGAGAGAGAGAGACAGAGTGAGAGAGAGAGTGAGAGACAGAGAGAGTGTGAGAGAGACAGAGAGACAGAGAGAGTGTGAGAGAGACACAGAGAGACAGAGTGAGTGAGAGAGAGAGACAGAGAGAGTGTGAGAGACACAGAGTGAGAGACAGCGAGAGTGTGAGAGAGACACAGAGAGACAGAGTGAATGAGTGAGTGAGAGAGAGAGACAGAGAGTGTGAGAGACACACAGAGAGACAGAGTGAGTGAGAGAGACAGTGAGAAACAGAGTGAGTGAGAGAGAGAGAGAGACAGAGAGTGTGAGAGAGACGCAGAGAGACAGAGTGAGTGTGAGAGAGACACAGAGAGACAGAGTGAGTGAGAGAGAGAAACAGAGTGAGAAACAGAGTGAGAGAGAGAGAGAGAGAGAGAGAGACAGAGAGAGTGTGAGAGAGACACAGAGTGAGAGACAGCGAGAGTGTGAGAGAGACACAGAGAGACAGAGTGAATGAGTGAGTGAGAGAGACAGAGAGTGTGAGAGAGACACAGAGAGACAGAGTGAGTGAGAGAGACAGTGAGAAACAGAGTGAGTGAGAGAGAGAGAGAGACAGAGAGTGTGAGAGAGACACAGAGAGACAGAGTAAGAGAGAGAGACACAGAGTGAGAGACAGAGAGAGTGTGAGAGAGACACAGAGACAGAGTGAGTGAGTGAGAGAGAGAGACACAGAGTGAGAGACAGAGAGAGTGTGAGAGAGACACAGAGAGTCAGAGTGAGTGAGTGAGAGAGAGAGAGAGAGAGAGACACACAGTGAGAGACAGAGAGAGTGACAGAGTGAGTGTGAATGCAGAGAAGGGACTGAACCTGATCCTCTGCTCTTCCAATCACACGTGGGTTCGCGAAACCAAAAAAAGGTTTGGGCTGATCAGTGAGAGAGAGAGAAGGGAGAGAGGGAGGGAGAGAAAGAAAGAAAGAGGGAGGGAGGGAGGGAGAGAAAGAAAAAGAGAGAGAGAGAGAGGGGGAGGGAAGGGAAGGAGGGAGAGAAAGAAAGAAAGAGAGAGGGAAAGAAAGAAAGAGGGAGGGAGAGAAAGAAAGAAAGAGGGAGAGAGGGAGAGAAAGAAAGAGGGAGGGAGAGAAAGAAAGAAAGAAAGAGGGAGGGAGGGAGAGAAAGAAAGAAAGAGGGAGGGAGAGAAAGAAAGAAAGAGGGAGGGAGGGAGAGAAAGAAAGAGGGAGGGAGAGAAAGACAGAAAGAGAGAGAGAGAGAGAGAGGGGGAGGGAAGGGAGGGGGGAGAGAGAGAAAGAAAGAAAGAAAGAAAGAAAGAAGGGGGGAAGGAGAGAAGGAGGTTGGAAGTGTCGCCAAATGAGAGAGAGAGCCCAGAGGGTTGGGGGAGATGTCGCAAGATGCCAACTGCACGGACTGTCTGCCCTGGGGGGGGTCCGGGGATGGCGGGGTGGGGTCCCACCGGCCCTCTGCCGGGGTCACCACGGCGCTGGCCACGGTGCTGATCTTCACCATAGTGGTGGACATCCTGGGCAACGTCCTGGTCATCACCTCGGTCTTCAGGAATAGGAAACTGAGAAACCCAGGTAACTTGGGTGGGTGTGGGGTGGGGTGGGGGCTGTGGGGTGGGGGGTGGGTGTGGGTGTGGGGGGGAAATAATGCTTGAGATCTTCTGTCTCAGCCACTTGTCTGTCTGTCTGGCTGTCTGTCTGTCTGTCTGCGTCCAGATGTTTCCAGGCAGAATCCCATCAAAGTTGCTCTGCAAGGTTTCCTACTTGCCTGGAGCCCCGGCGCGGGGTTGGGTTGGGGGGTGGGGGTTGGGTGGGGGGTGGGGGGGGTGGGGGTGGGGGGGGCTGTCGAATTCACTCGAACAAGCGCTGTCCCCTTCCGAGGGCTTCGAGGCGTCTCGAAGACCCACCCGAGGCATCTGCGTCGATCGCAAGGATCGTTGTCGCCGGGGTCGTCGAGACGTCTCAAAGCGCCCCCTCGCTGACTGTACCGTGAGGATTGCTATTATTATGTCAAATGCAAGGGTTATTGTTGTTGCTGTTGTTGTTGTTGTTTTTGTTGTGGTTATTATTATTATTATTATTATAATGCCATCGGAGCAAAGCAGAAGTCAAGTCAACCACACGAGCCACACACAGTGAGATAGAATTATGCGGTGTATTGAAAACAGTCAAGACGTTGTGCGGAGGGTTTAATGTTAGGATGGTGTACAATAGAATAAGGCGCTAAGGGACAAATTGCCTTAACAATTACAACCACACCCTCGCTTTTCAGGTTTCGTTAAAAAGAGTTTTTTTTAAAAAACAAGTAGTCGGAGTTATCGATTTGTCTTAAATTAAAATAAAATTTAAAAAGTCACGCAACTACCTGCTAGGGCTGTGAAAAGTTGATACAGTGCAGGAAAGAAAATAAGACAAAAGTTTTGCAAAATGGCATTGCTGGCTGTTGAATTAGTTTGACGTCCAGGAGTATGAGAGCACATTTTACACGTGAGTGGTTTCATGAACTTCAGTTGTTGAATTTCAATAAGATATTACTAACACGAGTTTCTGAATAACAACGGCTTATTTTGCAAACTTATTCAAATATGTAATTTAGAGCAAGAACAAGTCTAATTAATAATCCCAGAAGAGGACCGTGGTTACATGTTTGATTCAAGTGATCAAAGCAGCAAACTCTTGTCTCTCCTGCTCACATCTAAATCAGAAATATTGTTGCTGAAGTAAAACTTTTCACCAAGCTTCCTTTATCCAAAAGTAACTGGATGTGCTGGATGTAAGAACTCTTACACAACAAGGTTTAAAAAATGTAGAATTTCAGACAGAGTTAAAGAGAAATAATATTTCAGGATACAGTATATAGTTTGGGACATAACATGTCAGGAGGGCATCAGGATGGTGGAAGACGAACTGGATGGACCTTGGACTTTTTTTGTCTCGCAATTCTTATGTTCTTAAGAAAGATAAAGTACTGTATGTGATAGAGAGGCAGAGTGAAAGATTGAACAAAGTTACAAACACTTTTTAAAAAGTGTGTTTATCTATAGACTACAGCTGTACCTTGAACCAAAACTAGTTGGAATAATGTAAATAAATTAAGCAGCCTACTTCATTGGTTTTAGTTAAGGATGGAAAATGAAACTTCTGAAGAATAGATTGGATGCAAATTCCCCCTTTTCCTCAGTAGTCGATGGGAGAACCTTATACTTAGTTTCACTGTAAGCACCTCGAGTAACAAAAATTGCTCGACAAGCAGCTTGGATCCACCAATGTGTTTAAGATGTTGACAACATTCAGCTTATCATTCAAGTCCCTAATCATAGAATTATACAGCACAGAAGGAGGCCATTCGGCCCATTGTATCTGTGCTCGCTCTTTGTAAAGAGCTATCCAATCAATCCCACTCCCCCGCTCTCTCCCCATTGCCCTGCAAACTTGTCCTCACAAATAATTATCTGCTTCTCTCTTAAAAGTTGTTAGCAGGCAATGCATTCAATATCCGAACAACTTGCTGCGCGTAAAAAAAGAAAAAATTCTCATCGCCTCCTCTGTTTCTTTTAACAGCTATTTTAAATTGGTGTCCATAATTTTTAAAAATTCCATTAAGCCTCCTCTTAACCTACTCTGGTCCAAGGAGAATAATCCTAGCTTCTCTAGCCTCTCCTGAAAACTGAAGTTATCCTATTACCTAATGTAATAGAATTTAAAACGTATGATTCAAAGTGATTATTGCACAGCTGTTTGCTCAGTACCTTCACGTGAAAACACAAACTCTGTTAGCGCTCATCTTAACAAACGATACTCAAAAAAATTGAAGTTTTGATGCATCTTATTATGTCAAGATCTTGTTCATTTCTGACGTCTCTCAGACAAGTAATCCTTTTCATACTCCTGGCACATGGCCATCAATGCAAGGAATCTTCACTTCAACCTATAGAGAAAAAAACACTAACTCAAGTAAAGATTTTTGTTTTTCTGTGAAGCAGTCCAACGTCTATAGACATTTAGATACATTATTAGGTATCAGATATAACTTATACAGAGAGTGTAAGAAATGTAGAGAACTATATTTTGTAGATCTAATAGTTTGCTGGTGTCCAGCCCCGCCCAGTCCTTCCAAATAATTAAACACAGTTCTGTAAAGATGACTGTCAGCCCGGCTCGGTTGGTAGTACTCTCGCCTCTGAGTCAATAGGTTTGTAGGGTCAACTTCCACGTTGGGATGTTAAGCTGTGATTTGTACAGGTGGATGTTAAAGCGCTATTCGGAAAGAGAAGTGAGTTTCTCCTGGTGTCCTGACCAACAATCCCCCAAATAAAATTAGTTATTCACTTCATGGCTGTTTGTGAGACATTGCTGTGTGCAAATTGGCTGCTGCATTTGCCTGCAAATGTACAGTAAAAATTCCGTAAAGCGCTTTGAGACAGCTCCACAGCATGATGAGTATTATTTATTATTACGAATATATAGTAACAGATTAGCTATTGATCTTATTTTACCTACCCAGACCTTCAAGATCATCCTCTTTGACTGCATCCTCAGTTATCTTATCAGCATCTAAATTTTCTAAACCCTTCAAAATTTTAAAGTCCCCGATCCTTTTCCTTCGTTAATCTTCTATTTTCAAGAGAGGAGTCATTTTTTCCTAATCCCTCTGTTTCCCCCCTAAAATTTGGACTTATTCTCGTAGACTTCCATTATTCTTTTTGGCTAAGGGAATATCTTTTGAAGTAGGGGAACAAGAACTGCAGTTACTGTCCCAGTTGTGGTCTTAACCAGGTTTATATAGAATATTAAAATCACATCTCTGAATAACACATGGTTTGCTGTAGAAGATGGGATCATGAGTGAAGAAATACTCGGCTCACGTGTAAACCAGGGTCCAGTTTCCTCACAAATTGAGGATTAATTCAACTTTTTATTGAAAAGCATTTCCATTTACAGACTGAAGATTTAAAACAGCACCAGTTGGTTAAATGCCTCAATGGCTGAATATTATATCAGGTGATTATATCCAGATTTTAGATTGATGCTACATTAGGTGTGTACAAGACTTGTAGTACATCTGTAGTGTAATAAAGTTTGCTTAATACAGAGTGGCACTGAATGCTGGAATACGTGCCTTGATCAAAATGCAGATATTTATACCGTAGTTTTATTCTATTGTGTTAAATACTGTTAACACAACGAATGCTGTCCTAGTGCCAATTCCTTTGACTTATTTCTTGATACAGTATGTGCTAACACGTTCAACTGGATTATTGTAATTGAGGATATGCATTAGAGACTAATGATTTATCCAAAACAAATCACCAGTTGAGACTGACCATTAAACATATTAGCACCGCAGAAGCTAATATTGAGCTACGATGAGTATGAGTATGAGTGTCGGTGTGGGTGTGGGTGATATGAGCCCTTCGGTTCTTTGCCCAACCGGCTATGCTTCATGTGTGAGCTAAAACAGTAAGGCATTCAACCATTGAGAGAAACACAGCTGATCCTTTTTTGTTTTCTCATCTAACATCCGCCGACTTGCACTTTCCACCAGGGATCATCGAGCAGTATCAGGAGTGAAAATCCTGGATCAGTTTTGCCGCATAAACCCAGGGATGCTAAGAGAAACTGTAGCAATCCAACTGAGATCAGGCAACTCTGCTCAGGAATCAAATTTGCAACGTTTTGATCTGTACATTTATCCAAATTGATATCTTGCAGTGTGCCAATCGTTAGTTGCATCTGAAATGAAAGGTTGGTTGTATAAAAGCCAAGATAAACTAAACAGGAATGTTGAGTAGCAGATGAGTGACTAATTTGCCTAACTTAAAGTAATCATGCCAATCGTAGACTGCACCGGAACAAGTGAGCAATGAAACTTTTTGATGCAAAAGTTACTTCACAGGCAAAAGAAATGCAGGTTAGAGGGATATGGAATCAGTTTGTATGACGGTTAACTGTTACTGAGGGTCATTGCTTCTGCATTTAGTAATAAATTCTACATTTGTGGTATCGACAATGTCTTCAGCGTGAGAGGTCAGATTCCCAGTACTTGCAGATTAGTTCTAAATTAAGGTTAACTGGGTACATTTTTAATTTGTCTTCCATTAAGTCTTAAAACACATCTTGAATACTAGTCAGTTAACTACTGATCTGCCTACCAAATACAGCAGTCAAAGTGTAACCAGGACAAATTAAATTTCAAATTTATCACCTCCCTTGAGATATGTACATCACATTTAATTTACTTTCGTGAAATGAGTGGCTGTGCTAGTCTGCATGACAGTCACTTGGTTTCTAATTAACCTCATTTTGTGAAATGCTTTGAGACATTCCTTCAAGGTATTAAATAAATAATAATAATAATAATTTTTGCACGTGATATAGTGCACAGAAGGGTGAAATGTCTCAAAGCGCTTGCTTCATAGGTAATTGTTGTCGTGTGTTTTGATTGTGTGATTTTAAGCGAATAGAGCAGACAATTTGCACAAACCGCTATGAAAATAAATGAACATTTTATCCGGAGACACCGGATGAAGCTTCTTTCTATGCAAATAGTGCCATGAGATCTTTAAAGCCCATAT